TACACAAAACATATTTTATTTGTTTGTGCCCCGGCAGATCGCAAACGCACGCTGATCGATTGGAAGCGAAACGGCTGACTGTGGCCAATAAGATTTGGCATTCCATTCCCATATATATTTAAATTTCTTTCGAGTCGAAATTTGCAAAAGAGTTTCTGATTTGTCATTGTTGTTGTTGCTGTTGTTGCAGCTTTTTGGTGTGTCTTAGCCATGTTGGAGGCTATCTTATCTTGCACATCTTGCCTGCCATTGAGTGGGTCTTAGGCTACATTTTGACCATATTTAATATTTGTGTTGCCAGCAGCTGTTGGCCCTTGCCGCTCTGACAGTTGAGGTCGTTCACTTGTCGTCTTAATTAAGTGCGTGCAACAACTCGCTGCCRGCAGCAGCAGCAGCAGTCACTGCAACAGCAACAACAACAAGAGATGTCTGCAAACGTGCTTTAAGGACATTTTGACTGGAGCAACGCGAGGCTGTCAATGAAATCCCATAAGCTGACAGTTGCTCGACGATCTTAAGTTCTTTTGTGGCCTGTTGTTGGTGCCGCTGCATTTGCATTTGCAATTAACTGAAAATGGTGCTGTCCTGCTGCTGCTGCTGCTGCCTTCAGCTGGCCTAATGATAAATGTTGTCATTTACTGTGGATGCATGTGTAATCAGCGTCATGTTGCTAACGGTTTATTGTTAGCAAACAAATGGTTCAAATGGCGTGACTTCCTGCCAATTTCTAAGCACAACATTTTGGCAGGCTCTATGCATCTCGATTTGTATGTGGCTGTTGCAGTTGCTGTTGCATTTAAATTTGAATTTGGGAATTTGAATCGCATTTCGGCTGTGCCAAGTGCCAAGGCGAACGAAAAGAGCGAAAAAAATAAAAAATAGAAAAATAGCTTAGCAGACGATCGCGAAATTCACGCCATAAGTAGAATGCGATTTTCGCGCGTTGTCGCAGCTAGCTGATTTCGCTGCTGCTGCTGCTGCGACTGCTCCTGCTGCTGCTGTTGTTGTTGTTGTTGTCGCGTGTTGCTGCGCTTGTTACGGTGCCCAAATATGAGCAACATCACGAGAATCGTGCGATTTGCTTTGCATATATTTTACAATCCTCAAATCCAAAACCCAATCCCAATTCCAAACAACATTCAGCAACAACATGAAACATCATTACCCAAAGGGGGCAACCTTTTCGACTGGTGCGGAGGCGGGGGCGGTGCGACGTTGCGACCCACGACAAAGCAAAGAGCAACAGCAGGAGAACGTAATGAAGTTATTTGTCCTGGGGCCAAGCGAAATCAACGCACATATCCTTTTTGGCAATTGCAACGCGCTGTCGCATAAATCATTTGCCACTCGCATGAAATTGGGCATAAATTTGCTCCACTTTGCCATGGAGCAGCAGCGGCTGAGGCAGCGGCAGAGGCAGCGGCAGCGGCTGGAAGCAGCCGAAAAGTAAGTCGTTGGCTTAACGAATGCGCAGCTGCTCGAGTGTTGGAAGGCATCTGGTTGTTTGTGTGTGTATGTGTGTGTGTGTGCGCTCAAGAGGCGCTTCTTGATGAATGCCATTTAGAGATGAGCCCTGCTGCATGTGGCTCGGGATGAGTTCTCGGCTCACGCTCTCTCTCACATAATCTTAATTGGATCTATAGCAAAATGTTGAGCACTCACGCGCTCATCTCTAATCCGAGCCGCACCCACACGCCGCAGGCGCTGTCCAGCCAAACTCTCCGCTCGAAATTAGCTGCGAATTCGGTTATTAAAACCGCATACCACTCACTCTCTGCTGGCAACGGACCCGGGCCGGGAGGAGGTGGAGTGGGGGGCGCAAGGACCCAGTTACCAGCYTCGACCCAGACCCAGACCCAGACCCAGTTTCTATAGCTGTTCCCGTGGTACCTGCTGTGATAAATCAACGTGAGACTAATGCGCGCTTAACACGCGAATTATGATTTTGCAAATGATGTGAATGTGCCAGACAGAGAACCAAGCAGTTCGCGAAATGTTGCACGGACCACTGCCACAGCCACTGCCACAGCCACTGCCACAGAGTCATAGCCATCGTAAGTTGATTGCTTTATAATCGCCTCAGTTTTGGCCTGGCCGACGCCTTGGCCAAAGCATCCAAGTGGCATTTAATTGCAGTTTAAAGAGTTTGCCATGGACAGGTGACCCCTTGAACTATCGGTAATTAGTTTTGGCCAAGACACACGACAAAATCAACAGCGAAGCAACACATGACCGCCCGCTCCCCTTGCCATTTAACAGCTGACACAGAGACCCAGTGCTGTCGCTGCCTGTCCGCCCCGTACGCCCTGCGTCTGGCCATTTAACCCACTTATTATGACTGCCATTTATAACGACAGTTGCTAGGCACTCGGGCTAGCCAACAACACAAACCAGAGGCGATGCATGCCACAGCCTGCCTGCCTGCCTGCCTGCTGTTGCCTGTGCGTTAAGTTCTCGCCATCATCCTTGTGACCAGGCAATTGCTGTTGCTGCTGTTGCTGCTGCTGCTGCTGTTGCTGCTGCTGCTGCTGCTGCTGCTGCTGCTGCTGCTGGTTGCTGTTGTGTGGGCGTCCTTTTGACCCGCCGCATGTCGTTTATGGCCAACGCTGCTGCTGCCTTTGCGGTGGCCATTTTGTGGCCGTCCTTGTTTGTCCACCGCCCAGCATTGTAGCCCTTTGTGCGGCCGTAGGTCGTCACACACAGTCACGGCCCGGCCACCTCCACGTATCGGCCGCTCTCCGATTACCCCTTTTGTCAGCGCGGCGTCTGACAATGGCACAGTTTTGCATGCAATTGACTCTCACAGCTCGTTGCTTTTTACAGTCCAAATGTGCGTTAAGGATGAGCACATAGAAACAGCCATGAGGGCGGAACATGTAGATGCTTAAGATTAAAGTAAAATCGACCTTATTAAATGGCAGAAATAAATTCCTTAAAAGTTACAGTAGTTGCCTTTGCATAAACTTGATGTAAAATAATATAGCTATAGTCTTAAATATTTATTTTACTACAGTTAAGTAAATCCTTCCATGGACTTGCACCTGTATGGCCATTTTCTGCATTCAGCGAATGTCTGAATTTGTACGCATTCGTAATTCATGTACATTAGTTTGGTTTGTGACTTATAAGCCGGCATTGGAGCTTGAAATAATGCCAATACAATTCGATATCATAAATATTTTATGCACCATACGTTTGCCCTCTTGTTGCTGCTTTAACTTTGCATACATTTTGTCAATTCGGGCGCGGGAATGGAACTCGAAACTCGCAACTCGAGAGAGAGAGAGAGAGAGAGAGAGAGAGAGAGCGAAAAAAAAGACGAATGCCTATTAGGCTGCATATTAAAAAAAAAAATATGTATACATGTATATATGTATATTTGCCGGCCAAATAAATAACAGAGCAACAATATACGAGCTGGCCAGGGGGCAGGCGGGACCAAGCGGAGAACAAAAGCCAGCAACAATACAAAGAATTTTAGCCCTTTTTATGATTATGAATGCACGTCAGCATATTTATGTAAAAATTATGCAATTTGCTGCCGTTCTATGTGAGTGCGTGGACTAACTCAAGGGAAGGAGCCAACCAGCAAACCAACCAACCAACCAACCAACCAACCAGCCAGCCAGCCAGCCAGCCAGCTAACCAACCAGTCAACAGCAAAGAGACAAGATACCAGAGACCAGAGCCAAGAGCCACATCAGTTGAACTTAGCCAGTCAATCAAAAGTTGACGGGCTCGTCACAGTTGTCGCTGCTGTTGTGCTTGCAAAGGGACAACAAAAAACTATAAGAGAGAGAGAGCAGAGACAGTTAGAGATACACAGAGAGAGATGGAGAGGGAATGCATCTTTTGAGCAATTTGCAAACCAAAATGTGTATTAAAATTTATGACGAGCTCAAGTCGAAAACGGGCGATGGATTGAGAGATAGGAGCGGTTTGAGAAAATCCACTAATAAATATAGGCATAGGCATATGCGAGAGCATGCCATGGCTCACAAATACCCTTTAAATTGATGATAAATTCCGTATATTAATATTAGATAAATTCAAGTGTTGGTAAAAAATATAGGTATTGCACCTGTTCTTCTTAAACATATATTTTGTAATATTGTTTAGTATATACTGCCTTATAAAATAGGCTAGCGTTACATTCGCTTGGTTCTTCCGAATGGAAAGTCTCGCTGTTTCTCAACTTTTATTTTCTTAATTGTATTATCTTGCTTTTGCTTTTTGTAAAAACTAAGCTAAATTTAAATTGTTGGCTCTTGAGTAGAAACAGTTATGCATACAGTCCATTACTGTGCACTGTCCCTATATGGCAAATCGATCATATATTCAGAGAATGTCAGAAATTAGCATTGCGAAACAGCGACAGGACAAGATTTTGATGCGATGAGACTGCAGATTGACTGCGTATCTCTTGTCGTTTGTATCGGCTTCTCCTCTTGTGGCTGGATCATTCGCTGTGATCCTCATCATCATCGCATTGTTGAATCATGTGGCAACTACACACACACACACACACGCAAACACATGTAGTTCGTATTGAAATTCACGTCTCTGTTAGCAATTGTTGTTGTCACTGGATTGGCATTGCAGCAATGATTGGCCTTAACTTTCACCAACAGTTGTTCGATGTGGTTGTAGTTGTTGTTGTTGCCGTCATTGTCGTGATGACTCCGCTGCCTTCGCCCTTCACCCTTTGCCCTACGTGGGCCACGTCAACAGGGCCAGAAGCAAATTGTTAAGTTATTTGTAAATTTCTATGTCTGTTGACTGTTTACAAGTTTTTT